CCCCCCTTGTCCTTGAGTCCCTTGCCCCTTTCCTTGTCTGTATCCGATGGATCGTCCCGGCACGTTGCCTGCCCCTCCCAGCAGGGCCGGGCGGGCAAAATACAATACACCCCCCCGCTGCCCGTCTTCTGTCGATGAAGGCCGCCATTCTGCGCGCGCAGAGAATGACCGGGGCGTCTTCTGCTCCCCCCCCTTCGCCACGCCTCGACACTACACACATGAAAGGGCGGGGCGCGCCTGGGTATGTGCATTTTCCGGGTGCATTTTCGGCCGCGCACCTGTTCGGCTGTGATTGTGAGAATGGACGCGCCGGGAGGGAGGGCGGGGCAGGCGTCGTCCGGTCGGCCACTCACTTGCGGAATAGAGCCAGCAGGTAGAGGAACAGCATGACCAGGTCCGAATACAGGAGGATTGCCCCGAGGACCCACTCGTTGTGGTCGGACAGGCGCTCCTGCACGAGCTTCGTATCGATGACCAGGTAGATGCAGAGGATGATGACCATGATGACACACACGGCCACATGGGTGCCATTGGTGTACGGCATGAAGATGAACATGAAGACAAAGCAAATGAGCAGCGCCGACAGGCAGGCCAGGCTGGCAGGGGGGGCAACCCCCGACACGGGAGGGACATGCGGACGTTAGCCGAGGCAGCGAGGGGCAAGATGCAGCGAGGTAGACGCGAGGGAAAGGGGGAGGAAGGGGAGCAGCAGCAGCAGCAGCAGCAGCAGCAGAGAGGGGCAGCGGGAGAGGGGCGGCCACGGCACAGAAGGGGCGCCAGCTCGGCCGCGCTCGCGGACGTACATGGGGTACAGGATGCCGAACTCGATGCGCGTTTGGAGCGTAAACATGGTGAGCGTGAGGAAGATCGTCGTCAGGGCAATGAGCGCCTGGAAGACGGTGATGATATCGTAGAATGTGGAGATATAGCCGACGAAGATGCCCATGCATACGGTGAAGATGAACAGGAACACCAGGTTGACGATGCGCACGCGCGACACAAAGTGCAGGACAATCAGCGACACGATGGCCACACCGAGGAAGACATAAATAATCCAGTAGCTATGGCCGCCGGGGCGAGGGGAGCACAAGCGGCGAGTCAGGGGGCTGGGCTGTGGCTCGGGGGAGGGGTGGCAAGTCGGGGGACGCACTTCTCATCGACGAAGCTGTTCAGGCCCTCGATCAGGTAGAAGAGGGACCCGATGCCGGCCGTGAGGGCCATCTGCGCAAAGAGGGTCAGGTAGACCTTCCGAAGGAAGACTATCCCGGCGAGCGGCGGCCGACAGGCAGACCGGCCGAGGGTGGTTAGATCCGGGGCGTGGGGCGTGGGGCGTGGGGCGTGGGGCGAGCGTGTGCCGTACCATGGCGCTGCTCAATGGCCATCATCATGATGGTGATCTGCTGCTGGACGATCTGCTCCTCGATGTCGTGCTGCTGCGGCGGGTACACCGGCGGGTAGGCAGACTGGGTGGGGCGTGCGTGCGTGTGTGTGTGTGTGTGTGTGAGAGAGAGAGAAGAAGGGGGGAGAGCCGGGGAGGGAAGGGTCAGCGGCTGCGGTACGTCGCGCGTGAGGCAGGGCCTCCACAAGCCGGAGGCAATCGACGCACGGGGGAGCTCGGCGGATAGGGCTGGCCGGCAGGCGGGTACGGCTGACCAGCCGGCGGGTAGGGCTGGTTCGGCGCATCGGAGTAGTATGGTGGCGGAGCATCCCCAGGCTGTTGGCCGTGGGGGTAGGAGTCAGGGGCACCCATGGTCTTCGGGGCCGGAGAGGGGCGCAGCCGGGTGGGCGGGCGGGC